TCCCTGCTTGTCCCTGGCTGCATCCCTGCCATGACCCCCAGGCGTGCCATAGGGACTCGAGTGGGGGAGGACACACAGCGAGCAAAGACCCAGGGCTCCTGGCTGGGGATGGACACACAGTGACTTGCAGCCCACAGCTCCCAAGAAATTGCACAAATCCAAAGCCATTTTTTAACAATTATCCAGCGAGATGCTGGGCACTGAATGATCTCCAGGCCTCAGCGCCGCAGGGCTGCGGAGCGTCCACACCCCGGGACAGCGAAGGGAGGGCAGGAGCCCAGCAGCTATTGGGGGTGCACGCACCTCGTTACGGTGGAGCTGGGCGATCACCCACACACTCAGCACACCACAGGATCCAGCACAGGCACAGACAGGGCCCTGCACCTCCCAGAGCTTCCCAGGGCCAACGGGAAACGCGCCCGGGCACAGCAGGTTAAAGGTACCCAAAACCAGCGGTAACTCCCAGCCGCAAGGTTGCAACTGAGCCAAAGCAGAGACCGCCCAGGGCATTTCCATGGTAGAGAAAGGACAGCGACGGCCCCGCTGCCACGGGCGGTACCGGGTGTTTGTGAGTGTGGGTGAGAGCGAATGCGAGGGGACGGGGCCAGCGCTGCGCTTGAGCTGCACACGGTAACAGGCACCTTCTTCAGTATTAACTCAGCGCGGAAAACGCCAAGTGTGTTTGTTATGACGGGCCTGTATGAAGCTGCTTTACATGTTTTCCTGTGTTCAGATTGACATGCTTCCAAAAAGATAAATAAATAAAATGTGTGTTCCCACCCGTGTCTGTGAGACAAATGAAACAAACAATGCGGGAACTCGCAAAGTCCAGAGGGCTTTGGTACAGGAAGAGCCTGAGAACCACCACACCAGTGAGAAACAGCAAGAGTGGAAACATTTATTACAAATAGGATCTCCTATAAAACAGGAAAGCAAAAACCCTTTCCATTTGCTCCCTCCCTGCACTTCTGTTGCTTCAGGTTACTTCCATGGCTTGAGCCCTTAATGTAAGACAGGGTCACAGCAAAGCCATGCTGGGAAACGAGGAATTAGGCCAAGTAACGCAAACTGCAGGGACTTTTCTGGGCCATCTACAAAAGGCAGACATCTAAGAGCACCTGCAAATTCCCGGTGGATGGGAACATGGGGAGACATCGTACAACTCTTCCACACCTGGAAAAAAAGAGAGCTCAGGATGGGAATCACCCCATGCCTCCCTCAGCAGACTGAGACCAAAAGCCCTGCACCTCACCCCGTGGCTCCAGGTCACTGCACCAGTCTGTAGGTGATGTAGCGGCCTGCGGTCTCGCTCGGTCTGATGATCTTCACCACCTGAAGGCCAAAAGAAGGAACTCGTCAGGGAAATTTCTGCTGCAGGGCAGCAGTTTCTGCCACTGTGCTGGGAAGAGCCACCCTGCAGTGCAAGGGGCTGCCACGGAGCATGGGGCTGGTGTCACAGCTGCTGCCTGGCACAGCCAAGGTGCCAGGTCCTCACTAGGAGCCTGCTCAGCTCACACATCGGTACCTACAACAACTTCTGGGTTTGTAAGAGAAACCTTTCCTGCCCCCAACGGCTCTAAAACCCAGCAAGGATCGCGTTCCTGCCCTGCCCACAGAGCTGTCACCTCAGTTCTCTTACCTGCCCACGCTTTATTCCAAAGTACCGGGCCACAGGATCCCCAGCCTGTATCCGGGGGAGCTGGTTCTCTCTCAGCTTACTGCGCAGGGAGTCAAGGAACGTGCCCCCAGCCCAGTGCCCCTTCATTAGCACAGCTTGCGGGACAAAGCAGTAAACCACTGCACGTGGATGCTTTAGTTTTCAGCCCAAAGCAAGCACGCCTCACGCCCAGGCAGGAAGGGAAGGAACAAACAAAGGATACTATCGGGCCAGCAGCTCGGTTACTTCTTCCTTTGTCATGACAACGTGCTCTGGCACCAGCTGTAAACAGTGGAGAGAGAGATGCGAGACTGAGAAACCGCAGAAAATTATCAGCTCCTTGCAGCAGTGGAAGAAAACATTTGTGAAGAAGCAAACTATGACTGCACCGCTCAGCCCGGCCAACCAGGGGGGACAAAGCCTCCAGAGCAGCCCAAGCCACAGCACAGCACAAGGTTGATCCCTGCACTGCTCACCTCATGTTCGGTGATGTTGATGAGAAGCTCCTGCTGCAGGAACTGCTCCAGGATGTACTTGGGCGCCATATCGACCAGCGACTGGAAGGGAAGGAAAGCTCTGTCAGCCAGCAGCACAGCTCTGCAACACCCCTGGGGTGCTCAGATCTGCTCCTCGGCGAGCACCGCTCACGGTGCACAGCCACGCAGGCAAAGAGCACATGGATTTCTTCAACACTGGCAAATATCCCGTTTACTCCTGACTCCCAATGGGCCTTTGGCCATTCCTCTCCAACCAGAGCCAGTTGTTCTGGTTAAAGGCACTTTCATGTCAAGCAAGAGCCTGTGCTAAGGCACAGTAAACAGGCTTTAGCGACAGACTTTATCTAGAAGGAAATTCAAGGCTGTAATTAAGCTGAAGCAGAACTGAAAAAACAGAGAAGCAAAACACCCAGGGCCCACAACAATCCTGGCTCTGAGGCAGCCGTCTGCTCTCAGGGATCCCCCGTACCTGCTTCGCTGAGGGGGTCATGCCCTGCTGCACCACGATCAGTGCCCTGGTGATGTTCTCCTCCTGCATCCTCTGGCAGTACATTTTGATCGTCTTTATCCCAACCTTGGGCTCCTCTGGGGAAGGAAGCGGTCAAAGATTCACAGAATTGTTTGGCTGAAAAAGACTTTTCAGATCATCGAGTCCAACCATGCCCTGTCCACCACTAACCCACGTCCCTCAGCACCTCATCTCCCCGTCTGTTAAACCCCTCCGGGGATGGTGATTCCACCACTGCCCTGGGCAGCCCCTTCCAGTGCCTGATAACCCTTGCAGTGAAGGTTTTTTTCCTGAAATCCAATCTAACCCTTCCCTGGCACAACTTGAGGCCATTTCCTCTCATCCCATCGCTTGTTCCTGGGCAGAAGGGACCAACCCTCCCTCGCTACCCCCTCCTTTCAGGAGCTGTAGAGGGGA